GCAAACTCCACGCAGAAAGATTCCGGTGCCCCCACTGGGACGCGCTTGGCTGTAGCTTTACAGTATATTAAGCACACATTTATAAGAGCTGCATCAGTCTTTTCGTCAAACTCTGCAAGAAAACAACACCTCCCCAAATGCTACATTCTTTAAACTTACCTCCCATTCACGCATAGCAGAAAGAGTCCAGTCTGATCCTGCCATTCTAAACAAGTCTCTCCTTTCCTGCCAAAAACAGTTTGTCACAAGAAACGTCCCCCTGCGTTTCTGTTTGTTTCGTTCCAGTGTTCAATGAAAACCTCACAGTGCACCGCTCTATCTGTAGTGACAAAGTTCACTCACAGACCTTTGAGACTGAGGTGTAACAATAACACACACCGACACAAACAGCACCTGTGGAGTCACGGTGACTGGATTTAACACCTGCTAAAAGGGAAATAAACTGTACTAACAATGAGAGACTCACAAGTGAGACATTTCCCAATCCCCGATGCACAAAATGTACCACAGCAAAATCAAACGGAGCTCCGATATCAAACCGAAAACTCAGCATGGGACAGACTTTGTTTTAATACAAAAAGAAAATCCTTGATCTCAGCTCCGAGAGTGTTGGCTCAATATAAATAAAAACCTCGAACAGTGAAATTGCTGCCATGATTTCCAAACATGCTTTTCAACCCTACAGTGTCCCAAAGATCCAACTGATTCTCAGCAGTGAGAAAATATTTACACCACAGCAGATTGTGGAGTCTAATACATTTCATCACTCCTCCAAACTCCCACCACAGTCTCTCATAACTGCCGACTAATTGCCGTTGGTGACTCCACAGCGAGGACATTTTTCACATCGTGTTCCATCGACAAAGAAAAGACTAATATTATTTCTCCTAACACTCCATAACTCGTGTCACATCTCTCTCTCTTTTTCTTTTTTTTCTTACATAAAACGAATTACACATTTTCTGTAAAGGCCCATGACTCTGTAGTGATGCATTTGCATTAATCATGACTGGCTCACGCTGAATATTAATGATATCAGACATTTGAGGCTTTGGTGTTCACCTCTCTGAGTCAGTCCAGCACCAGAGCTGTGCGTGGGGCTGTGTGATATGTCAAGTTGGTACAGCTGCACCAACCCAGGATATGCAGAGACGAAGCAGACTGGACTAAAAAGAAATTTTCATTGTCAATCATTCATTATTTGATTAATTGATTAGTTGTTTGGTTCATAAAATAGCAAAAAAAATTGTGGGTCAGTGTCTCCAAAAGCTTTTTGTAAAGATATTCAGTTCAAGAGAAGGAAAGAAACCCGATAATATTCATATTTAGGAGGCTATAAACTTCCAAACCAATTATTTGACTGGTTGGCAATTAATTTAATCAATGAATCGTTGCGGTCTCTCGTTTAGGGTTAGGGTTAGTTAAACGGATGTAGCCCCCACGTTTAAAAAGAGAAGCACCATACACCTGCATTCTTTCTAACAGGTTGATTGTACAGAAAAGAAAATGACATTATTTTTTGCTTGATTTGTTACTTCAGTGAACAAATCCTAATATGTTTATGGTCTCAATGCCTAGTTTCAAAACAGCACGGTGTTCATTTAATAAATTATGGTCCTATTTAGAGGAAAGAAGTCGAATGCTTGGTGCTTAAGTGGTAACTTTGCATCTAAGAAGGCAACATGGGTGATACTGTCGGTGCTGAGAAGCCACCGGGGCTAATCAATTAGCAAGCTGGTAGGAAATGCAAAGCAGCTGGGCAAAAAACAACGTGTGAAATTTCCACTTATGATGCCGTGAATAGCACAAGAAGGGTGCGTACATGTGGACTCGTCGTGCGACCGCTGCACAGAAGGCGGCAATTGCAACAGCCCCGTCTCCTATGTGGCGTAAAAACAACAACATCATCTATCAACGCTTCCTTTCAGGCTGTATGGCGTATTAAACAACCACAGCTGGCCAAAGACTGCAGCTGCTCTTCAGTGGCAGGACTCCATGATATAAGCCTTAATCCAAGTCCTTGCTTCATATCTTGTGTACACCTAGTTTTGAGATTGTCATTGTTATGCTCATTTCTGCATAACACTTTGAATATGTGTTTAATAAAATAAGTCCCATTGCTACCCCGGGGTGTGGAAAGAACAGAAGGCGAGCAGGTTAAAATGCATTAATTTCTTAATCTGCACTTTAACTTTGTCATTTATTTCACATAAAATCTCATTTACATAAAGGGTCTTTCAGTTCAGGGGCCTTATTTTAGACATTTTAACCAAACCCAGGTCAGATTTCAGCCCTGGTAACCCAGGGTTCAGTGGCCAATCAGAACAGACTCTTTAATTAACCTGAGCGATAATCGTTTTTTTCCCACAGAGCTGGAAACAGATGGTGAAGAGGCAGAGACACAAAGGACATTATCACAGTTTTTTTTTTTTTTCTGCTATTTTCCGTCTGCAGCACAAAGCAGCATTCCAGCCGATTCTCGCTTTTCTTTTCCACGTTTTGAATTTTTCACAAATCTCACAAGCTTTTCAAAATGTAAATGCCTGCTTTGTGTCCGTGACGACTCGGAGCAGCGAAGCCACCCTGCTGCATTTTTCACAAACTGAACACGCCTTCCTCACTGAATGATGCAGCAGCAGACTTGTTGACCAGCTGATAACAATGTCTGAATTTATACATAATACAGTCAGAGGAGCTGAAGCACAAAGTCTCTTGTTCTGTTCATGCCTCAGCTGGTGAGAACAGTTCATTTCTTTCCATTTTTAGTTAGTTTGTTCTTTCAGCCACTATGTTTGCCTTTGAAATCCACGTGTTTTCAACCTGTAGCAGCGCTTCATAAATAAGACATTCCTCCTGAGCTGACCCTGGCGCTTCTGAGTCCAGCTCGCTGCAGCACTGCACTGCACACTGACCTTGGCAGCAAACCATGAAAGGTCCTTCGATTGTGGAGAAGCTGCAGGATCTCCTCACCAATCCGACTTATTCTCAGCATTGTTCTCAGTTCTTGACAAATCACTGCTCCCAGCGGAGGAAGGAAACTATCAACACTTAAGTGGCTCCTCTCATTATCAGTTATAAAACTCTGGAAGAGAAAATGACTCATTCAGAGGGAAAGATTTTGTTTCTACTGTTTTTGGCTTTGCTGTAATTAACATTGTCGTGAACTTAAGTTCAAACCTATTTGTTTGATGCTGTTTTAAAAATCACTGCATAAAAACCTAACTCCACATTATACATGCGATTATATAAATGTCTTCTTTCTCTCGTTTTTAAAATTATAACAGTACAAAAGCTAAATTTCTTACACTGCCACAGCACTGAAATGGTGACACATCAATTTCCAATGAAAAGGGGATCAAACTGTCTCCGTTAGCCGAGCCAAACAAATCTAAAATGACACAACTATGGCTGCATAATGACTTTTTTATAGCTTCAGTCTGTTGGCTTCACGAACACACACGTATATGCGCAACATGCATTCCCACATTAGCTGCTTCTATTTTTCAAAGATCTGTCTCTTCCTATGACAGTCAGGTTTGTGTTAAGAGGCTGTACATTTTGAACCTCCAGTTTTACACATACATTTACTCAGATATTGTACTCTTACGTGTAATTCTGAGGTGCTTGAATCCTGTCAACGTGTCACAGTGAAAAAGACACTGAACCCCAAGTAGTCTGCTAAATGAATGTATACAAATATACTTACATACAGTATTTACAATTGGCTATACCTCTAAACGCTGCTAACATGTTAATGCATCTTTAATATTAATCCTGAAATAGCTGAAATGTTACTGTAAAACACTAACAGGAGTGATTCTGGCTGATTCGATGTTCTCTCAGGTTGAATGTGATTCTCGCTATGTTGGAAAATTATGTGAGTTCAACAAACTTCATGAACGTTAAAGACGCAGTTTCACCTCAGCAGATCTGACAAAGCGAACAGTGATGTCAGTTTGACGTCTTATCAGCAATGTGACGCAGCAGAAAAATAAAAATGATGCACTGGTCAAGTTTGAGATTCTGGGCCATTTTGCTTCCATAACCTTTTAGTCTAGTGGAAAAAAAACATCCAAAATACACATTTTTGTATGCAGATCAAACTAGAGCACATGTCTTTAAAGGCTGTTTTCTCAATATATGACTGAGCCAGAAATCTCCACTTCAGTGGCATTTCCCTACAGAAACTTTCCAGTTTTATTCCTCACTATATTCTGAAGGTGGGGTTTTGTTCATGTACAATTCATAGCCTGAATTTTTAAACATTTTATTCCTCAAATCACAGCAAAAAAGGCTTTTTTTTGGGCTTCTTTTCTGATTTATAGAGCGATAAAAATAGATATCCAACATTTCCTCTGTAAAAACATTTGACCAATGCCAACAAAAGAATTTCTGATGTTGAAATGTATGCAAATGAGCACATGTTTAATTGATTATTGCGTCATTTTCATATTTAAGCATCACATTTCGGACACACAAGAACTAATTCTATTAATGTGTGCAATCAGCTGGGGTCAGTCAACCTCCCTATAGCTTCATGTTTATGCTGTTCTCTTGTAGTGTCTCCTTTAATGTTCAACACTGGTACATGACCACAACAGAGGTAAATTCATACACGAACACTACTGTGTATACGGTTCTGCTTCTGCACTCGCTCTTCAAACGCCACAAAGCGGAGAAAAGGATGAAAAGTTTTCAAAAGGCACCACCAGAGTTCGACAAATCTCTGAGAATGTTTTCTTTTTTAGGCAGTCGGAGCTTCCTAACCTGATCCAGTTTTTCTTGAGTAACATTTTAAATGCGTTAACTTATAATACAGTCAGTTTAGCGCACATAGCAGAACTATTTTCCTCCGCTGTCAGGCTCTTCCTAGAGGCTGAAAGTCGCCTGTTCTCAGCAGTCCTCCTCCCTACTGTGCTCACATTCTCTTCAAACTCCCTATCTGGAGTCAAACAACAACCCAGTTTGCCATCTATTCTGATTTTCAACAATCTGTGAAACTTTGTCCTTGTCTCTACAGTCAAATACTCCTGTTTTTATTTTTTTTTAATTTTCTAATTAACTTCAGATTGTTTTTCCCTCTAAAGCCTTTGTGCAGACGTACACTTCCTGCATACCAGAGATGTCCTGAACAGTGAACAGGAAAACTTTGGCGCCTATCTTTTTTAATTACATCTGCACCTTATCTAACTCTGTCCTCAATC